TACTCCACCACAGAGAACTGATCCTAACTCATTCTGTGAGACCAGCATTACCATGATACCTGTGTCAAAGATGTCATAAGAAAACTATAACCAATATTTGTTGTGCATACAGATACAAAAACTCTTTATCAAAATACTACCAAATTGAATACAGCAGCATACTGAAAGGATTATGCACTATGAACGGGGATTCAAGGTGGGGTCAACATACAAAGTAAATTAATGTAGAATACCACATAAAGAGAGTGCAGGGAAAAATCTCACACAATTATTGCAGTTCATGCAGAAAAATAATTTAACAAAATTCAACACCCTATCATAATAAAAAAAAACACTTAAAAAACTAAGAATAGAAGGTACTGCTTCAGTCTGATAAAACGCACGTAGGAAAACCCATAGCTAACATCACACTCAATGGTGAAAGACTGAAAGTTTTCCTCCTAAGATCATGGACTAGACAAGGAAGCCCTCTCACCACTTTTATTCAACGTCATACTGAAAGTTCTAGCCAGAGCTTATGCAAGAAAAGCAAATAAAAGTCTTTGGAAATTGGAAAAACATTGGAAAAGAAGTAAAACTGTCCTCTTCACAGATGACATAATCTTGTATATTGAACATCTTAAAGAATACACACACATACACACAATTAGTGCTAATACATGAATTCAGCAAAGCTTCAGGATGCAAGATCAACAAGCAATAATTGGTTATATTTTTATACACTAACAATGAGCAATCTATAAAGGAAATTAAGAAAATAATTTCATTTACAACATCTTTAATAAGAATAAAGTACTTGGGAATAAGTTTAACCAAGGAAGTGCAAGACATGTACACTGAAAACTACATAACTTTGTTGAAAGGAATTAAAGAAGGCCTAAATATTAAGAAATGGAAAGACATTCCATGTTTATAAATTTTAAGACTTAATATTGTTTAAATGGCAATACTACCCAAATTACCTACAGGTATAATGCAATTCCTATCAAGATCTCAATGGCCTGTTTTTGCAGAAATGGAAAACCTGATTCTAAAATTCATATGGGATTGCAAGGGGTCCCAAATAGACAAAACAATATTGAAAAAGAGCAAAATTCAAGAACTTGTACTTCATAATTTCAAACATTACTGCAAAGCTACAATAATTAAAATAATCAAAACTCTTCATCAGGGAAATGCAAATTAAAACCATAATGAGATATCATCTCACCCTAGTTAAAATATCTTTTATTAAAGACAAATTAATGATTGCTTGCAAGGATGTGGAGAAAGGGGAGCCCTCATACACTGTTGGTGGAAATGTAAATTAGTACAGCCACATGGGAAACATTATGGCGGGTCCTCAAAAAACTAAAAATAGAACTACCATATGATCCAGAAATCCCACTACTGGGTATATTCAAAAGAAACAAAATCAATATATTGAAGCAATGTCTGCACTCCCATGTTTATGGCAGCCCTATTCACAATAGCCAAAATATGGAATCACCTTACATGCTATGCTCACCAACAGATGAATGGATAAAGAAAATGTGGTATATGTGTGTGTGTACACACACATATATGTATACAGTAAATATTATTCATTCATAAAAAGAATGAAATGCTGTTATTTGGAGCAACATGGATGGAACCGGAGGTCATTATGTTAAGTGAAATAAGCCAGGTATAGGAAGACAAATATCACATGTTCTCACTCATATGTGTGAGCTAATAAAAAGTGGGTCTCAAGAAGGTAGAGAGTAGACTGGTGGTTACCAGAGGCTAGGAATGGTGGAGCGGGATGAAGGGAGGTTGATTAATGGGTATAACAATACAGTTAGATAGAAGGAATAAGATCTAGTGTTTGATATTTTAGTCGGATGACTATAGTTAACAATAATCTATTGTATATTTCAAAATAGCTAGAAGAGAAGAATTCAAATGTTCCCAGCATAAAGAAAAGTGTTTGAGGTGATGGATATTCCAATAATCCTGATTTGATTATTACACATTATATGAATGTATCAAAATATCACATGCACAACTATTATGTATCAATAAAAATAAATATAAAAACAATCAAAACTTCTTGTTGACATAAAGAGAGATATATATTAATATTAATAGATGAATGGAGTAGAATTTTGAGTCTAGAAATAAACACATATCTATGGTGAACTGATTTTCAAAAGAGGTGATTATACCATTCAATATGGAAACATGCTTTCTTCAACAAATTGTGCAAAGAAAACTGGATATCCACACTCAAAACAAAGTTGGACCATTTTCTCATTCTATATACAAAAAATAACTCAAAATAGATCAAACACATAAATATAAGAGCTAAAATTATAAAACTCTTTGAAGAAAAGATAGGGCAAGATCTTCATGACTTTGGACTTGGCAATGAATTCTTAAATGACAACAAAAGCACAAGTAACAAAAATAGAATAAACTGAACTCCGTCTAAATTAAAGGGTTCTGCATCAAATGCCACTGTCTATGTGAGTGAAAAGATAAACCACAAACTGGGAAAAATATTTCCAATTCTGTCTTAGTAGTATGTTTTGTGCTGCTATGACAGAATACCACAGTCTAGGTAATTTATAATGAACAGAAATATATTGGCTCACAGTTCCACACACTGGAAAGTCCAGGATCGAGGGGCCGGTACCTGGCGTGGGCCTTGTTGCTTCATCATAAGATAGTGGAAGGCATCACATTCCATAAGGGCAAAGATAATAGCATTAGTTCATTCAGGGGGCAAGGCCCTCATGACACCTCTTAAGGGGCCCACCTTCCAATACCGTCACATCACAATGACAAATTTCAACACGAGTTTTGGAAGGGACATTATGTTCAAATCATATCAAAATCTTATAATTTATAAGGGTCTGATATGAAAAATATATAAAGAATACTTACAATTGAATGAATACAATACAATGGAATATTCTTCAGCTATATAAAGAAAGGAACATTGATACATGCTACAACATGGATGAACCTAGATAACATGCTAAGTGAAGAAGCTAGACACAAAAGGCCGCCACATATGGCATGATTCCATTTATATGAAATACAAAAAATAGGAAAGTGCAGAGACAGAAAAAAAGATGAGCATTTGACAGAGCCTGGGTGGAGGGGGAATGTGGGGTGATTGCTTAATGAGTACAGGGTTTCCTTTTGGGGTGGTGAGAAATTCTGGACCCAGATAGTGGTGATGGTTGCATGACATTGTAAATGTACTTAATGTCAGTAAATTGTACACTTTAAAATGGTTAGAATGGTAAATTCCACATTATGTATATTTTAGTATAATAAAAATATTCAAAATAAACATAATTCATAATATTATTGGATTTTTAAAGATATGATAGATTGTTTTGATTTCATACTTATAAAATCATACCTTACTGGAAAATTGATACCATGCTTATGTAAATGTGCTCCCATGAATAAAGACCATTTTGTATTAATATATTAGAACTGAAAATAAAAGAGTAGCCTTTCAAAGCATTGATTTAATGAAAGATCAGAAGTAGTATTGTAAAAAAAAAAGTAGTGTTGTTTTTATGTACATAAGTTAAGACTTTTTTCTATTTGTTGTTTATCAATTTTATTGATTAGAAATAAAGAATCTATAATAGTTTTGTTTAATTAAAACCATGTATAATTTTGAATGAAGACTGATGTTAAAAAATGTAGAAGTCAGCTGGGTGTGGTGGCGCATGCCTGTAGTCCCAGCTACTGGGAAGGCTGAGGCAGGAGGATCACTTGGGTCCGGGAGTTGAAGGCTGCTGTGAGCTATGATCATGACTGCAAACAGCCCCTTCCCTCCAACCTGGGTAACATAGCAAGGCCCTGTCTCAAAAAGTCAAAATTGCCAAGCAGTGGACAAATTGCTAAGGTTAAAAATTTTGGCTATTAAAGGAAAAACAAATGCCAAAGAGTATCATGTGCACGCCTGCTGGCCGCAAAGAGAAAGGAAGCATTGTTTTCTGAGATCGACAAAAATGATTTCCATCCAGACGGGAACACAGGAGTCCTGAGTGAGGAACCGATGAACACATGAGGTACTTGAGGGAAAGGGGAGGGCCTGATCTAGAGGCAGATCAAGTCCCCTGACTCCCAAAGGGACCCTATCGCAAGTGCAGGCGTCCCACCTTCTCAGCCACCGCTGTCCCCAGGGCGAAGGAGGCAGCTCTACGCGGAGCGCCCCACGCCGCGCGCCGCCGTCGTCCACGCGGATGGCCAACAGAGGGGCGATGTCCGCCTGCCTCCCTCGCCCAGAGGCAGGGACGAAGCTGACCGTTCTGGCTCCTCCCTCTTTCCGAACCCTGTTAGCAGGCGCCCCCACCCGCCCGGAGGGCCCCAGCTGCGACGGGGCTGTGCCCGCGCTCCGGGAGCGTCCCAGTCTGCTTTCCGCTGTCGTGACGCGGGATGGGGGCCCGCGTCGTCTAGAAAGCACGGAGGTTTATTTCCTGCCGTCTGGCGGCCGGGGGCCAGCGAGGGCCCACACGTGGCCGGGGCCTTCGCGCCGCGCGTCCTAGGCGGAGGGAGGAAGGGCGAGGGCGCGGGGCGGCTCTCCCACAGCGGCGGCGGCCCTCTGAGTGGCGCCTCGCGGCCTAAGCAGCCCTCGTGGGCCCCACAGCCAGCACCACGGGCACCGTTTCCAACGCGGGCTTTTGGGGAGGCGCGTTCCAACCACAGCAGTGAGTCGTATGTTATTCCCACAGAACACCCATGCCCATCTGTCACTCCGTGAGTCCCTGCTGCTGAGGACGCATAAAAGGATAACGAATGGGACTGGTGCTGGGGTTTAGGGCCCCAGAAGAGAGCTTGCTCCTCCGGGTCCTATTATAGCCCTTCCCACACATAACCAGTCCCTCCCGCCCCAGCCTCTCCTCACTGCGATAGATCCGGCTGGGTGTTTTGTGAGCTACCTAGTCCTCTCGCCTGAAAGCCAATTCCTTTCCCTATACAGGAACATACAATTGCACACAGAGTCAGCTGTGTACAGTTTTTGAATACACAATTTATTTGTGAAGCGCCACAGTACAGTTTAAGCCATGAGTACCATGCGTGTGACTTGCTGCCAAATGTAGGGGCAGTCGCAGCACACTCTTCAGCTGGGTGGAAGTTTCGAAGAGGCCAGTTGCCCACAGAGTGGTGACCATCACATTCTGCAGACCATAACAAGGACACAAGCAAAGATTTTAGGTAACAGTTTGCTAGAAATGGGATCCACTGTCCCACTTGCTGCCCCAACCTCAGAGCTTCAGCCTTGGGCTCCCTTTCACTGCGATATGGTGGGGCCAGGGCCCCTTGTGGACTTCATGGGCGTGTCTCAGGGGAAGGGCCCTACAGGTGTCCCACTGTAGGCACATGACAGGAGGTGATAGGGACAGAGTTCATCAACATAGGCTGATGTCACATTCGCCCTGACACTGTCCCTGGCAGCACATGTGGCAGTGGGTGGGACACAGCAGTGGTGGTGACCCGGCCTCACATCCAGGCCTCTTGCCAGCTTCCTGAAAGGGAGCTGGGCTCCTTCCTCCTTGGCCCTGGGGCATTTAGGCTGGTGGCTAAGCAAGCAGTAAACCCATGAAAATCCCACAGGGTTTTCTGCGTCCAGGTTGCAGTGCCTTCAAAGTGCCCAGAGGGACATGCGGAGGAAGGGGCAGGGTCCTCTGGGTGGAAGGCCCCAGGGTTGTCACGAGGCAGTGTCCTGTGGCCTTGCAACTGATTTTAGGGCAGCTCAGGATTTTTGCCCTTTGCCTGCAGGTCACTGCTCTCATGAACAAAGGGTGAGGATCACAACTGTGGTGAGTTTCTGACCATAAAAGCAGGTCGACCTCAGGAGCCATCAGGCTACTGTCTCAATAGATTATTTTCTTAGCGTCCAGATAAGTTTTACAGCCCCTCGGTATAGGCAAGAGGGCATTTACTGATTCATAAAAAAAAGTGCCCATCAATTGCTTTACAGGACATTTTAAGGAAGAGCCCAGTCTACCAGGTTCTGTGTGCCGTCACGCCATACCGCAACTCAGGGGGTGCCAGAGTGGAGGAAGACATTATTGTTCCTGGGGACTCAGGGTCCATTTGATCAGGACCATGTTAGAGGCCTACAATGACCTCTGACCTCACAGATGAGGTCAGGGGGTTCCCGTGAACTAGTTCAGTACAAAACGCTCGTGCACCTGCCCCTCTGCCCTTTTCCAAAGCTCCTGCCTGTGGGAGGCACTTTCCCTGCCTCTGAGGAGCTCTGCTCCCCTCCCGAGGGTTAGGAGGGTGGGCTGTCCACCACCTGCACTGCAAGGTTGATCCCCACACGCAGAAGTCGTGCCCTGGGCTGCGCCTTACCTCTCATTGGACCTTTTTGCCTCTTCTGGACTCAGAAAGCACCGGGAGGGGCTGGGCTCACCCAGGGTGTGTGTATGGGGGGCGTTGTTCTCTGCCCTTTTCACAGCACCTACTGACTCATCATAAAGGGAGTGGTTGAATCTCACCCACAGACACCACCTACTGGTTCAGAAACTAAATAAGGCGTATCAATAACTAAACAAAAACCTAAAGGAAAGAAACAACAACTGATTGACATGGGAAGAAATCAGTGAGGGAACTCTGGAAATATGAAGAACCAAACGGAAACCACACCCCCAAAGAGGAGCACTAGCCCCTTAGAAATGGACATCAACCAAAATCAGGCAACCAAAATGATAGAAGAGGAATTTCGAATGTGGATCCTAAGAAAATTCAATGACCTGCAAGAACAACTCAATAACCAACACAAAGAAACCACAAAAAGCCTCCAGGACCTGGAACAAAATTCACTAAAGAAATCGATACAATGAAGAAAAGTTTAACTGACTCCTGGAAATGAAGAATCAATTCAGGGAACTACAAAATACAGTGGAAAGCCTCAAGAACAGGGTATATCAAACAGAAGAAAGAATCTCAGAGATTGAAGATAACACCTTCCAATTAAATAAATCAGTCACAGAGATAGAGCAAAGAAACAAGAAAAAGATCAAAGCCTACAAGAGATGTAGGATTATGTGAAGAAACCTAATGTGAGGATCATAGGGTTACCAGAAGGGGAAGAAGAAAACACTCAAGGGTTGGACAAGCTATTTGAAGATATAATAGAGGAAAATTTCCCAGGCCTTGCTAAAAATCTCGATATACAAGTTCAAGAAGCTCAGAGGACCCCTGGGAGATTCAATGCAATCAGGAAGACGTCACAACATGCAGTCATCAGACTGACCAAAGTATCAACTGAAGAGGCCCTTCTAAGAACTGTAAGACGAAAGAAGCAAGTAACATATAAGGTAAAGCCAATTTGAATAACACCAGACTTCTCTACTGAGACTTTATAAGCAGGAGAGACTGGAGCCCCATTCTTACTCTTCTGAAACAAAACAATGTCCAGCCTAGAATCTTATTCCCTGCAAAGCTAAGTTTTGTATATGAAGGAGAAATCAAGACATTCTCAGATAAGCAAAGACTGAGGGAATTCACCAAGACAAGACCAGCGCTTCAAGAAGTACTCAAAACAGTGTTACCCACGGATCAGCACAATAAATCCTCACAAATGTAAATCTACTCAAAGCTAAAGATCAAAGCTCAGACACCACAATGGTTCAAGAGAGAAAACAAAGCAAGAAAGTTCAACCCAACATAATGAACAGAAGTTTGCCCCACTTATCAGTTATCTCAATGAATGTGAATGGCTTGAACTCCCCACTCAAGAGACATAGGCTGGACAAATGGATACAAAAACACAAGCCAAGTATCTGCTGCCTTCAGGAAACACATCTAACCTGCAAGGATGCAATTAGAGTAAAGGTAAAGGGGTGGAGAACAATATTTCAAGCAAACGGAAGCCAAAAGAAAGCTGGTATGGCAGTGCTGATTACAGATAACTTAGCTTTTAAATCAACAAAAGTAATAAAAGACAAAGAAGGTCACTATATAATGGTGAAGGGTACAGTTCAATAAGAAGACATAACAATTCTAAATATATATGCACCCAACCTTGGTGCACCCAGATACATAAAGCAAACTCTACTGGATCTAAACAAATGGATAAACAACACCACCATAATAGTCAGAGACTGTAACACCCCACTGACAGCACAGGACAGATCCTCCAAACAGAAAATCAACAAAGAACTAATGGACTTAAACAGAACCCTAGAACAAATGGGCCTGACTGACATTTATAGGACATTCTAACCCCAAACCACTGAATATACGTTCTTCTCATCAGCTCATGGATCATTCTCTAAGATTGACCACAAAGCACATCTCAAACAATTTAAAAAAACAGAAATTATACCATGTATCTTTTCAGATCACAATGGAATAGAAGTAGACATCAACCCTAACAGGAACTCGCATTTCTACACAAAGTTATGGAAAGTAAATAACCTTATGCTGAATGATCACTTCATAAGTGAGGAAATCAAGATGGAAATCAAAAGATTCTTTGAACTAAAGGACAAAGGAGACACAAGTTACCAAACTTGTGGGACACAGCTAAAGCAGTCCTGAGAGGAAATTTTATTTCCATAAATGCTTATATCCAAAAATCGAAAATATCACAAATAGACAACCTAATGAATCATCTCAAAGAGCTGGAAAAAGAAGAACAGACTGACTCCAAATGCAGCAGAAGAAGTGAAATCATTAAGATCAAATCAGAACGAAACAAACAGCGAAACCATACGGAAAATTAATAAAACAAAAAGTTGATTCTTTGAAAAAATTGACACACCTTTGGCTAGACTAACGAAAAGCAGAAAAGAAAAATCTCTAATAAGCTCCATCAGGAACAATAAAGGAGAAATTACAACTTATGCCCTGGAGATACAAGATATAATTTATGAATACTACAGAAACCTCTATGCACACAAACTGGAAAATGTGGAGGAAATGGACAATTTCTTAGAAACACCCACAGCTCCTAGGCCTCAACCAGGAATAAATAGAATTCCTGAACAGACCAATATCAAGTACTGAAATTGAAACAGCAATAAAAAACCCTCCGTGGATTGTGCAAGGGAAGATGTAGCAGCCTCTTCTCCGAACCACCCTTTTGCCTCTGGACTTCTCTGGGGCCAGCAGCCGCCTGAGCAGGGGCCTGGGGCCCCGGGCTCAGCCGACAACCATGGGCTCCGTGTCCAACCAGCAGTTTGCAGGTGGCTGCGCCAAGGCGGCGGAGGAGGCGCCCGAGGACGCGGCCCGGGCTGCAGACGAGCCGCAGTTGCTCCATGGTGCCGGCATCTGTAAGTGGTTCAACGTGCGCATGGGGTTCGGCTTCCTGTCCATGACCGCCCGCGCCGG